AGTGGCAGCGTAACTTCAGATACATAATAACTCAACAAATACTTAGTGAAATATACTCACAGAACTCGCCAATAATTGATTCTTATAAATACTACCCCCTTCTAGATCACGACCATCGACCATCATCACCTCGTCTATACCTATTCATTATAATTATAATTATAAATTAGTATTTGTTTCATTGTTATCAAGATAAAATAACAGTGTACGTTATGTTGTTCTTTTTATTTTATTCATGTATCTTATTCACCACTCAGATATAGCCTAAGGTCTTTCGAACGCGGCACTCTATCTTTTTCGGAAACGAAGAAAGAACGTTCATATCTTTTTTTTTAAAAAAATATGGCCACGAAGAGCTTTCAATTTCCCGATTTACACCTAGTGGCAGCGTAACTTCAGATACATAATAACTCAACAAATATTTGTGAAATATACTCACGGAACGCGCCAAAAATTAATCCCTACAGCGATCAAATTGTCATAAATCGCTTGTTCAAAGTTTTGTCCGCGTTGATATGAAGAAATATTATCAGAAATTAATAAGAAAATAATTATTACATGTATCAGTATTATAACATATAAACCAGTAAAAAAAAAAGCGCTATATTGTTGATTACTATTGTGGAGTAGAGCGTGAAATAAAAAAAAGCGCTATATTGTTGATTACTATTGTGGAGTAGAGCGTGAAATAAAAAAAAAAAGCAAAACGTAGAATGAGCAACGAATGAGGAAAAATATAAGCTGCTAGAAATTTGAACGATTACGTTATCGTTATGGCGTTAAATTTTGATTAATAATAATTTTAGCGTGTGAAATTTTGTTTTTATGTAGCATCACACCCAATATCGATATACGTATATGTATCTATAGTTATGTATATACGTGTCGTTTTTTTATTCTGAACCAATAGTATACATATTGTACTCTTGAGAGGAGTTTCTAAGCAGCTTATATTTTTTTTACGTCGTAATTAATGACAAAACGTTTTAAAATGTTTTTCGCTTTATGCATTCCACGCTCTCCTTGTTCTACTTAGAGAGAGAGAGAGAACGCTCGTACTACTTTTCGTTCTATTTCACGCTCGAATCCACGGTTTTCCGCCCTAACAAGAATATTACAATTGTAATTAACAACAAAGACGACAGCAGACCGCGACAACCGAACGTTCAATTAGTCGCGCTCAATACTCTCCACATTCCACACGCTTTACACATGCTCTGCATCTTTCTTGGAATTGTAATGTTTTACAGTAAGGTGGAGTACATAGTTTTATCCATAGGTGAGATCTCTTGTGCGCCAGCTCATAGTAAAATCTTCTGTGTGCTATAGCTTTGCTTGCATGGACTTTGTTGTTCCGCGTGGACGTTCGTTGGCCCCACGCTCGTGTATAGCAAAGCTTTGTCCATAGGTGAGATTTCAGCTATAACCTGCATTATCCGCAACTCACCGCTCATAGTAAATATTCTATGTGCTATAGCTTTGTTCACTGAATACCCGGTATACCCGTATAACTTCTTATTTTTTTAGATCCTGATATACTCTCGCTCTCCACGCTGTCCTTTTTAGTTACTGCGTTTAGTTTTCGATCATCATCGCTGAAACATAACTCTCCATCGTTCTTAACAAATATGAACGGATACGACCATGATCGGATTAAACCGTTGTTGTCTAGCATTCGCTTAATAAAATCATTTCATGTTGGTGGTACATTGTTTGATAGATCTTTACGCCCCCGTGTCGATGTGATGTTGAACTAGAGTGACCAGTTTACTGCATTTGCAGAATCCATATGATTTATGTGATTTGTGTATATAATGATAATAATGATGTGAAGTTTAACAATGTACGCATAACTAATACATGTATAAAGAGTCTGTGAAAGACATGCTTTGATAAAATAAAGTAACAAAGTTCTTATCTGTAATAATATTATTATTCGTGAATACACTATTATTTTATTATTTCTGGTCAACTTCAAATCTTGTAAGCAAGCTACAAGTAGTGGATGCTCCTCCACTCTAAATAAGCCGTCGATTGTAATTCTTGATATCATTGTTATTTTGATTTTCCTTTGTCCAGGCCGTATCAATAAGTCTTATTGAATTGTTTTTCATTGAATTGTTTTGTTAAATAGGCCGTACCAATAAGTCCTATTGTGTTATATTAATTAAATTGATTTTTGGATTATTCCCTTTTTATTATACTATTGTTTTCGCCCCTTACTTTTTTTAACGTCGGTTTGCATACAAGTCGCCACGGAAGCCTTTAGAACACCCAAAGAAACTCTTTACTCGTAAATAATTCAGTTTAGCTCTCATCCCAGTTGCGTAAAAATCCCTCTTTGACCAATTAAAATAGTAGCACGCAATAGTATCACGATCAATGGTGACGATCGTTAATGATATAAAGATATATTCGATCAATCATATTAACATGGGTACTGTATTTATATCAATAGATTTTTTCCAACATCCTTCTTGCTAGATAATGACCGTTTCGATGAGTTTTTGTGCCATTTCAACGTCATAAACAGGAAACTCAGCCAATCGGAATTGAGCGAATTTAACCCAAGATTCAGCGGATATAAATACAACTCAAAAACTTTTTTTCTCGTCTTTTTGCGTCCCAGCACCATAACGATAACAAGAAAAAGCGAGTAAAAAGTAGCAAAAAACGCAATAATTTCGAATCTAGTTTTGCAGGATAACTTACTGTTTTCTTGATTGACCTTCGTCTCTTAAAAACAATAATAATGTGCAAATTTAAATTTAATCCGTGAATATGCTCAGAAAAGGCCTATTCTATCATATTTACGGATTAAATTTTGTAGTTACTTTTTAGTAAAGAAGTTTATCCATTTTAACGTTTGATGACTTTAGATGTTACACACCATAAGGTACTAAAGTTTTTCGTGACATTTTAACACTGGTGTTCGGCATCAGTGGTGTGATTTAGTAATGTCGATTTAATATTTGTAAATAATTATTCATAACAAATATTTGATTTTATTAATTTTAAAACCTAGTGACTTATAATACATTGAATGTGAGAGTGAATTTTTTTCTTAGCTAATTTTCTATGAATATTTCATGTAGAAATATTTATATTATCATTTTTTGAGAAAAGATTTGTTAAGGATCATTTTTGTTTTAGATTATTGAAAACTTGATATATATGTATTCAAATTTGTGAATGATTTATTTGTTGCTTAGAAGATTTTTGGAACTTATATATTGCCAATACTTATATATCGAAGAACAAAAATAATTTATAATTCGAAAAAATTTACTAAATATATTCAAGTTTTCTTGTTAAAAAAATATTTTTTTTGACTCTTTGTTAATTTTTTTATGACACATTGATATGTAGTAAATTTCACAAGATAATTTAAATAATAATAGATTATATATAATATTGAACTCGTTATTTCATTAAAAAACAAAAACATTAGAATTATTATTTATCTTTCTTTTCTATTTTATACTTTCTCGATGGTAAACTTTTTTTCTATTTTATTGTTTTTACAAAATTAACGATAAGGGTAGGGTATTACGTAGTCAAAGGATCGCTTTTTTCATGTTTTTTATAATTACTTTATCAAGTCAATAATACACACAAACACAAATAAATCGCTATCTTTAATTTATAAAAGATTTCCTTTATATGTTTCGTGTGATTTTTCTCAGCATACATTTATTATCGTTATATACATGTACATGTATTTCAAATATAGTAAATATTTGGATCATCAAGAAGGGGGTTTAGATCACATCATTGTCATAACAAGTACATGTATAAATTTGGGAAACATAACGTAAAATTTTGTACTACCATCCGTGAAGAAGGAAAAGATATTTTTTTAAGAAATGCCTAATGAGATAATACGTATTAAGTCGATCAAAAATATTTACTATATAGAATCTCTAGAAATATTTGTAGTTTTGTTTACCCTAAAGTCCGAAACCCTAATAAGCTAATTTGTAATTATTTTGCGCGCAAAGCTTCACTGAATGCGTTCCTTGTGCTTGGTCCCGAGCTTGAGACTTTAAATGCTCTACCTATACAATGAATATTTTTCGAATGTCAAGATCTACCGTTATGCATTGTATCTCTTTGATCATACGTAATTATCGTTATGGTATGTGCATATTTTAAGTTGGCGTTGGTCTTAGTCATTAATAAAATTAAGACGATCGTTTTTTTCTATACCGATACACTGTCTATTTTTGTAAAAGTATGTTACCAAACAAGAGAAAATCTAGCGGTGTATATCGATATAAAAACGAAGCCAGCTAAACAAATTTTCTTTTGTCTAGTCCTCAACTATACTTGTTTGAATAATTTCAATAAAATGAAAGCATTTATAGAACACATATTGTTCTTTTTAATAAAAATTGCCATTGTTTTCTTACTTTTTTCCGCTTACAATACTGAG